GCTGACAGCCCGAAAAAAAGTCCACGTGCTCCGTGACGCCACATGGCACTAACAAAAATTGAACTTTAGTCATTGTGGATATGAGTAGTACTAAATAACACTCGCAGGTTTACGTGAAATCAAATCGACAAAAGGTGAAGTAGAGAGCACCCTTTGTTTTAGTTCAACTGGTAGCGCTCGGATCACACAATTGGAAGGCTGTGAATTTGGGTCCCTGCCAGTGCAAAGTTGTCTTTTCATCCACAATTATATCACCACATTGACATCATAATTAACAGAACAGATATTAAACACCACAAGTAGCGTTCACTTTACCTTCTTCAGCTCCATTTTCTGATCATTTCATTGAATGGGCAGACGGCACTTTTACCCATTAATGAAACTGCCTGCGTTTCACGAATAGTTGCCAGAAGCTTAAGTGTGTCATAAACACACAAGCGCAAAGACACGCTTTCGTCCATCTCATTTCGAGTTTTTTATTCATCTGGTTGACTTATTTAACACGTATGGTTTAACATCCTAAAACCACCGAGTTTTTCAAGCGACGCCATATTGGAGGACTCCGGAAAATTCAACCACCTGAAGTGTTTTAACCTGAACCCATTTCTGAGCTTACGGGCCTACAGCATTTTCACCTCCGTCGAAAAAGCAGCCACCGCCACCGGGCTTTGATCCCGCGACCTGCGGGTCAGCAGCCGAGTACCTTAGCAAGTATACCTCCGGGGCACTTCTATTCTACTGGTTATTTTTACATTTTCGATTTTGAAATGTGAAACCGGTATCCTAGTAACTATTGGTTGCTGCAGGTGTCACACCGAAGTTTCATTTTAGAACATTACTTATTTCTACCTGTTCGATACCAAATTAAACTTTTACAAAATAAAAGACACCTCTCAAGCATTTTAACTGTTAACTAATTAGCATCATGACAGCTTTCTTCAAATACCACGGCCCTGTGGGTCACATTCTGTGGAAGGCAAACACGTATTTTAAATGAAAGAGTAAACAATCATGATATAAAAAACTTTCCACTCTGTGCAGCACGCAGGGGCAGACATTCAACAGATACAATATGATAAACTCAACTAATAATATAGTCTAGTTACTGTTGGGATACACTTCAGTTGATCTCTTTCACTAGATGCGGAGGAGACTTCTGCAAGGCATCCAGTGACAACGCGTATTTAAAGCGATGCCTTAACATCAAAGGTGTAACTATTGCAAAATAAGAGTACTTGTCGATGGAATACTTAGCCTGTCCACAACTATTCGTTCACTGACCAACACGGATGCAAGAGTGCTCATATACCCCACTGCAAGACTCGTATGTGTGCTTTTTGTAGTGATCAAGCTAACAGGAGTTTTATGTTATTATCTTGAGGCATCAGCACTCCTATTGCGCAGTTTATTTAAACTTCAAAACCCTCATACGACGAGAGGTGGTGAAAATAAAAGGGACCATTTTGACATTTTAAGGTGTCCCCAATAATCAGATTTACCCGCCCTTCATCATCAATTGGTTGCAGTAGCGAGACGCTAGAAAATAATAATTAAACGTGTGTGCCGAAGAGAAGAAGCACCGGAAATTTTATGTTTTGTCAGGTGAGCACATCATGTTTTATATCGATTGTTGCAGCTCGTAGAGTACGTCACTGCGAAAACTGATCTAGGAAAGTAGTCCTCTGCTCAAAGTCTGTTATTGATGTGATAAAGTGCTGTTATTGATAAATCAAAGGAGCACTTTTGTCATCGAATCAAAAAAGGGAGTATTGTAGCCCATATTGATCTTTCACAAATGATTTGGAATGCTTGAAAAATTGTTGGAGTGCGGTGCTTTTGTTTCAGCACTAAATAATGACTAAGATTCACGTAGCAGCTATAGGGGTGGTGTCATCAAACTTTGAGGCCTCTCGTGGGTTTCCTCTATATACTAGGAAACTTCACACGAATGGTCGGACACAGCTAACATTTGGAATATATTCTAATTTTCTACCAAGAATGTACCTAAATGCGCACTTTTCCAACCTAAGCTCATCGCAAGCACCTCAGGAACTGTTTTAGCTCTGCAGAAAGGTCAACGAAAGTTGCAAAGACATCACACCGGATCTGTAGCGACCGCAAGCGTGCACAGTTTATCATTTCAGGAGTAACAAAGATTTGTCGTAGCGTGGCCCCTCCGTAATTAAATATTGGCTGTCAGCGCGCCCCTTTTGTAAAGCGCAGCGGCTCCTCCCTATTATGTCATTGTGTCGGGCTGCGTTTGCGCACCCCCCTCGTAGATGCCTATGTGAGTGGCCACCCCCTTAGCCCCCTCCCATGCTCACGCCTAATTTAGTGAGGTGAGTCACCCAGGAGACCTCCGCCACGTACGTAGCAGCAAAGCCACAGCCAAGCTAGACACTTTTAGTTGGACGTACGGAGAAGTTGCCTACGCAGTGAAAATTACGTTGCGTACGCTGCAAGCGAAGCGTGTGCCAACACATTATTTTAACGTACCTTGATGTGCTTCACTCAATCAGATTATTTGTATGCGAGATTCAAGGATTTAAAATCATCAGCGCCACCGACGTTAGAAGTGGGCTATGTTCTAGTACCATGGCCCCAGTAATAATGTGGCCTCTCTGATCTGCACGAAAATTATCCCGACTTCGAGGGTAAGAGCCACCAGTGTACACGTCAGGCCGTGGCGGTCGCTTTGTAGATTTTTAGAATCGTTCCTTGGGGCGCACGTTCACTGAATGCGCACGTTCACCTTTGGTGTTTTCAACTCGGCTGCACAATGCAAGAACGGCACCTGATGGGCATGGCCACACTGGATCCACGCCAGGGTTCTTTCTAGCGCTGCTGCGGATGAGGCTGAGCACACCCTACAGCAAGAGGTCGCGTTACAGGTATTCATGAACTTACGATGTACTACTGGCGCATTCAAGGAGTGAAAACTCGCAGAACTTCCAAGGCGTGTTATGTTGCAACACGAATAAAAATGCGTACCAAGATGCCGTGTTATTTGCGGGTTCATTCACGGAGAGGCCTGTCAGAAAAAGACACCTTCCCACACGTAACCTATCGAAGGCGATTCTTAAGGATTTTGATGAGACGTGAGGATTTTATTCTGAATCATCAGATACCAGAACGCGCCACTTGAATTTACCGTGTCTGGCATGAAAACATCGCCTTTTATTGTGAAGTCCACATTCCTTGCGTCAGGTCCACCGTTTCTGTATTCGTCAAACGCCATTGCTGCCGCCGCATACTCTCGTTCTGATTTCTTCTAGGTATCGCAAAAACGTATTGTAGTAAGCGTTGCGTTACGTGCGCAGCCTCTTGTTTGGGGCCTGCGCACGCATCTCTGGAATCAATACGTTACGTACTGCACACACGCAGTTATCTCCCTTGGCAGTGCTGCCTACGTGGACTCGTTATGTACGCCCAACCTGAAGTGTCACCTAGAGGGGAGTGGCACGCGCACGCACTTTCCGCTCCCCTTGATGGAGCCCTGCAACACTTTTTTAGCATGGTCAGAAAACGCTGCCGATTGATAGTAGAGGCCCCCGATAACAGGCGAACCATATATTATAGCGCAGCGCGTGGCCTGAAGTTCACTATAAATTAACAAAATCAGCTAAAAGAAGCTTTTGTTCTCTCGACAACTAACGGAAGATGCTCAAAAATCACTCTTTAAGAGCCCATTTATCAGCAATTCGCTGATTTGAACATGACGCGCTTGGTCGTTACAAATATCGCTGCGGGAAGTCATGACTTGTCTAAGCGTGCGCGCGTAAACACTTTGAAAAAAAAACGTGCATTCGAAGAAAAAAAACTGTTAAAAGTAACGATGCGCGCGTGATGACTTTTTTTTTGCCCCTGCTATTCCTCTTAGCTAAGCTTTGAGCGCTTTCGTCGGGACGAGAGAAGTGAGAATGCAATCACAGCATGCGACAAATCTTTGTAACTCCACTCGCACTGAACGGATTCTTAAAGAGTTTGCGGCGTTATATCTTTGAGGCAATTGGCTCTTCCAGTGAATTCATTCTGTGGCTGCTTGAACGAGTGTTTCAGGGCCCTTTTGAACGCGGCTGTGGCAAAGCAATGCGGCTGCTACGTGTATTTGCGCGGAACGTGTGTGCGAGAAAGCCAGCGAAAGAGACAAACAAAACGGCGTGCATCACAGCTTCAAGTGGCCACGTGACTAAGCCACCTACTGCACGTCACAGCCCAATCGGTGCTCAGAAACCAAAACATGAAGTCGTCCACATAAAAACAGCTATATTATCTGTTAAACTAAAATAAATATTTTTGATGCGTGTGTCATGCTTTTTGGTGCTATAAGAAATGCTTGCGGAAAATAATGCTCAAACTACAATTATGGTGACACTGCCTGTTTATGGTGGAATTGCGAATTGCAGTAAACTACAATGCAATGAAGTTCGGCCACAAAGAAAACGCTCTTCTCAGGGTACCAGGAACAACTTCTCACGGAGGCTTGATAAACCATCAAAAAATCTTCCCGCAAATACGTTATGACTGCTTACTTGACGAGAAAATATCTTACACGGCGGAAACAAACTGTGTCTCTACGGAAACTGCGTGAGCACAACGTAACTTTATAGCACCAGTGCCTTCAATCGCATAGCATGAAACGCGATAAGGGTCACCCCACCATGGTGGTCTAGTGACAAAGGCTGCTCCTGATAACAGTTCACGAGATTGAATTCCGGCAACGGAGGTTGCATTTTCGATGGAGGCGAAAATGATGTAGGCCTATGGGCTCAGACTTGGGGGCACGTTAAAGACCCTAGTGGGTCCAAATTTTCGGGGCGCTTTACTACGGCGTCTTTCATAATCATACGGGGGTTTTGGGACGTTAAACCCACATATCAATCTATCAAGCGATAATGGTCATGATTGTAAAAGACAATATATACCGCATATTTGGTGACGCGGTACCGAATATTTTTATCCGTTGCATGTTGTTGACACATAGTTTTTTTTATCTGCAGGCGCTGCTCTTCGCGGTGCCGCCGCCTATTGGCCTGGCGCCTACGGGCTCCAAGCCACCTGGCGTGCTCTGGTACGGCTACAGTGTTCGGACTGGTGCTGCTGACATACGAGTGGATGACGTGGCCCAAGTGGCGCCTCCGAACAGCAGGACCACGCGCTACACCAGTGCCATCGCTCATGGCGGTGCCCTTTCTCGGGTGGACGTCGCACTGGGAACTCCTCACGGTAGCGTTGTCTACTACAACGACAATCCTCCCGCCGATGTGGCGGCGAGATTATTCAGCCCGAACTATCCCGGCGGTGTACCACCGCTTGTGCCATTTCCACAAGGCTACGTGCAGTCGTTCGGCCCGGACGGTCCACCGGTGCCGACGCAGCGTTTCATCGGCCAAGTGGACCACTCTGAGCGGCCACTCCCAATCTCTAGTCTCGGACCCCGGATTGGTGCTCGTGCCCTGCCCTCAGTCCCACTCGTTGCACAGGGTGCAGAGGATAGACCGCCGCATCAGCCACCGTTCTCAGCCATTGTGAGATCGCGACCCGTGCTGTCCCAACCGGTGGGACCAGTTGTTCAGTCGCACTCCCCGCTGCATTCACCACACCAGAATCAGCCTCAGTTCACCACAAATAAAGCTGCTGTCATCACGTTAGTCGTTACACCTGGCTCCTCGCCTGCACTTGGGACAACTCAGGGAGTGGAAGCGGCTGAGGTGATCAACGCACGCCTGAGACAACCTCAGTTGCATGCGCCTTTCCGACTGCTGAGCAGGAAATCCCAAGTTCTGTCTCATCAGACGAACGTGAGATAGAATCCAGTGGCAAATTACCAGAAAGCGACGTTCAGGATTCTGGAGTAAACTACGAAGAAGAACAAAATCGTTAAGCATCTCAGAGGAAATCACGACCGATTGTCATCCACCGTTGCGTCCGTTGGCTTACAGACATCTCAGAGTCAAGACACGTCTTCCGTGGTAAAGAATCAAATCAAGACCCCCGTCGTTCTGAACAACGGCAGGGGTCAGTATGATTTTCGTGGCTATGAACAGTTCGAAGGTCAACCCGGCGCCGAGGAGACCCCAGAGGCGCCGGAAGATTCGCGTACGAGTAAAAAATACCGACACAACTTCCGGGTATCCTAGCGGCGAGTCTGCGGACGGAACAAACGCAGCCGCAAAGAAGTGGGGCGCGTCGTGGATCGCGACGACCGTCGCTTACAAAGAGAATCACTTTGTCAAGAACGCGCCGGCCTGCCCGAGGCGGAGTGCCTACTGACAAGGGCTACGAAGTTGACAGGGACCAGCACTCTCGAGAACCAGCTACGACGAGTGCAGCCATTCCGACGTGCAGCCGCCGGGGACAATCAGTAAATTCGAAGGCGTACATAGGTCCAGCATTTAAGGAAGCTCAACGGAACAGTCGTGTTCGAGTGAACAAAGTAAAGCCAGTAAAAAGCAGGTTCATTTGCCGCCCATCGATTCGTTCGATGAGGAGTACGACCATGATTACGAGCATGCAGCTGGTCAGCGAGCATCAAATATATCGCTTACGCAGCACACTAATGATAGGTCACTACTTCGCTCCTTCATTCCGAAAATGGAAGCTAAATCGCCCTTTTCCACTAGGCCAAATTACCAAAAGCCCAGTGAAAAGGACTCAGTCACTGCGGCTCCCAGTAGCTCTAAAGAGAAAAACGATTGGAGCAAGAAGGCTGACAATAGCTCTGAAATAAAAATCGGCAATTCGGGAACGGATGGGAACGTAAAACAAGAGGTGGACATTGAAGCTGAAGCAGATAAGCAGAAATCTAGGGTTCTCAGCATTGCCTTAGGTGAGCCAGCAACAGTTGTAGGTGTCAATCACGAACAAAAATGTTCCAAGGACCTCCTTGATTTCTGAGAAAAACGGAACGGTCACGTCATCAGGTCCCGATAAACCAGCGCGAGTTTTGAACATATACTTGAATTCTGTAGTGAAGCCAAGCGTACAGCTGCGCGACGCGAACGATGCTCCGACCACAACAGTAGCGCCAGTTAATGTGCGAGATGATAATTTGTTAAATAAAGAAAGTCTTCTTGGTCCATCTGATTTGGTTTTGCGGCCACAGTTTAATTCTTCTGTTCAAAAAGCTAAAAATTTGCTTGCCACATTTACGAGGAGCCAGAAAGAACAAAACAAAGTTAATCAAACATCCCGTAATCTAGTTTACTCTGGCTCAACGCCAAGTACTAAAACATCTGCGGTGAGAAGTGTGAAAAAGGATCAGTCAGAAAACAAACAAAGTCAAGCTACTCAAAATGAAATGGTTGTGTTCCCATCTATGACTCGAGTGCCATCTAAGACACTGCGATTGATTACGGTCAAAAAGACGCCCATCATAAAGACAGAAACCATCTCTTCATCAGTGGCAGCGTCTCCAGTATTGGCATCTGCTTGTTGCTCATCTCTGAAGGCAAGTTTTTCTGTGACAGGCTTCACAACGCACAATATTGAAGCGCTTTCACCAACGCAATCACCAAAACAAGAAGTGCCTCCGGTCGAGTTGACCGCGCTCACTATGAAGGCACCTCCAACATCGCAAAGTTTCAATATATTATCCTCTTTTAGTAGTGCTCCTAGCCGAGATTCTACTTGGTCGGTCATTGATGACATCGATAAATCAAAGTCGGGATCTGAAGCATCGTCTCTATACACCTCATTTAAACCAACTCCAACACTAAAGCCAGCGCAAACGTTTACGACCCGCAATTTCGACAATTACGAGTTTCCGACTTGCCAAAATACCTGCTTTTGGAGTCTCGTGCAGCACAGCAAATTGATGTCTTCCATCGGAAACATCGTCACGACGTCGCCAAGAGGCACAGATGTCAGCTCAACTCCTGTCGTACGCGTATTGAGCAGCACGATTATCACCGGTGACTTGCTGAGTCCTACGCTCGCAAATCAAGCTAGTGCACGTGCACCCAAAGGCAAACGAGAGAAAACTGGAAGCGAAGGTCATCGGTCGGTTGGTAGCCGGACTCAGAATGGCTCTTCTTCTGCCTCCTCCAACTCTGCAAACAAAACCGCAACACTGCAGCAATCTTTGGAACGTCTAGGGAAATCTGACCAATCATCTGACCTAGGTACAGAGGAGTCCAGGAACTTCTCCAGCACTGCTTCACTACCACGCTCGCGTACGAGACCTCGCGACGGCAAGAAGCGCCATTCGAAGGAATCCACCAATCTCAGCAGTGAGCGTCTATCATCGGATGTAAGGCAAATTCTAGGCACTGACTTCTCGCTTTTTGGTCTACCAACTCCTTCACTTTCACCTTCGTTGAGCTCTATGAGTGTTATGAAAGGCACTCCTTCACGCGAACCAGTAGATACTGACGTGCTTTCACCAACACCATCCCTTCCTGCTTTCGTATCTGCGCCCGAGTTGTTAACGTCTAGGTCCGGGAAAAAACCTAATGTTACGCGTAGGGAAGCCTCCTCGTGTTGTCGAAGTCAAAACGCACTTCTACGGTAAGCAGCGCAACGAATTGGACAAGGGCTGGCAATAAACAAAGCACTCTGCACGAAAATTCCCCGATGACCGCAGTCTTGCCGTCGCTCTCACTCTCTCGAATTGAGACTTCTCGTGCCACCAAAAGCCGCCGAATTATTCAAAATGGATACACCTCAGAATGGAGGACCGTCAAGAAGGTTCCCTCAAAAAAGAACAACGCTCATAACGGCACGACTACTTCGACCACCAAAACTTCCGTTACGTCGGTGTACGCTACGCAGCTTTACGAACTCAAAGAAACACCACGTTTACCAGATAATACGGCTCTGTCTGACTTAAGCGAAAGACAAAGGGCGTCGATGAAGACAAAAAGCATTGCCAACGCAACATCAAGCAGTAAGACCTCACGCACGTCATCCACAAAAACTTCGTCACGTTTAGGTAGAACGAAGACATCCTCGAAGTCTTCCTCTTCTTCTCATTCAACAACGCTCAGTACAAGGTACGTGACATCTACTGTGCAACTATCGAAACCTAACCGTGCCGTGCTGTCAACGAGCACTGTTAGCGTCTCTACATCTGCCACCTATCTGTCACCATCCCCGAGGCCTTCGCTAGGTGCCGACAGAGTTCCTAAAGACAAAGTCGCCGCCACTCCCACAAGAGCACTTCCTACACAGGAATACAACGATAAGTCGCGCAAGCTTCAGCCTCTTTCTGTCACTGATTATTTCATGACCCCCAGGTCACCATCACCGTCGTACACACGCACCTCATCTCTCCCGGCCACCCCTCTGACGTTCGGTTGCGGCTGGCACCGACTACAACGACGACACTGCCAAGATCCGTCTCGGCGACAAGACAGGCAACATTAGAAAAATCATTTTCCGGCAACAATGATCACGCATATGCCGAAGATGAAGACGCTTACCTCCTCGATGGCGGATCATACACCGCTACGCCCGCGTAATGAGAGCTCTTCACAAAGTGACGTCATTGGAAATCATTTACTCGAGCGAGCCGAGGACTCTGCAACGATCACCCGAAAAAAACCCACGAAAAGCCTTCACGATGAAGACCCGGGCTCACGTAATCAACACGTGTCCCTGCCGGCGGCGGCCATTCCCATAGGTGCGACAGGAAACTCTAGCTACAATTCCGACGTGTCTGACGACGAGCTTTCTGTGGAAGGACCCACAGCGCCTGACCCAACCAACGAGGCAACGGGACGCGAATTCTCACGTCCCATGCCTCTGTGGCCTTTCCTGGCACCGCTGTTGCTTTTGCTCTTCTGCCACCTGCTGTGTGGTGCTTATTACGGCCTGAGAAACTACCGCCGCCACCAATGCCACCACCACCACCACCCCCAATGCCACCTACATTCCACAGCTGGGGACATCCATCATATTAATATTATAGTCTTCCTCTGTCCTTGTCTATATTTTTGCGCTGTTTTTACTTTCCAAGTCCCAACCTTCATAATAAATAACATGTGAAGAAAGGAGTGTAAATGATCCAAGAGTAGCCTGTTTTTATTGTTTGAATACTAGATTATATCAATTGCTCACTTAACCATGAGTCGATGCGCGTCCAATGCGGGGAAATGTCCATGAACTGTCATCATGCGCAACGTATGCACTGTTTGTGCTTTCAACGAAGAAGTACAGGAGAAACAATGAATGGCACAAATATTGCTAAAGCAGTGAACCTTAGAGAAGAGAGTGAGTAAAATATTGATTCTTTTCCATGGGTATGGCTTACTTTAGAAACAGTATTCGAGCAACGGAGTCCTCAAGAGTAAACACCACGAGAACGGGACTTCAAACAAAAAAGTGCTGGCGATTACATGTCCTCTTGTGTAGAGGTTATCTCATGAAGCATCTTTCGTTCAGGTTATGGTGGTTACCTAAACTCGTGATGTCCTTCTGTACCCTTGCCTAGCTTGCTCTTTTTCTGCTCAACAGTCAGTGTTGAATGATTGGTTGTCCTCTTTCCTTCGTGCCAACAGAATAAATATCTTGGTACAATACAAGTGCTGAAAAGAATTTAATGTTATGTCAAAACATCTTATCTAAGAGTGTACAGTTCATTTCGACATTCCTATTTGTTCAGATGCCCAAATGTCTGCTGCAAGCTGTTCAAACGTTTGTGTATTTACCTAGATGCCTTGTTTACAGCACAGTGGCTATTGTCGCGAAAATTTAGTACTCAGCTTTCCGACAAGGAAGAAAACTTCGTTTATGTTTTTTTGTTTTTGATGAATCTTGCATCGCTGACTATCTATTACGAGTTTGTTCTCAGAAGCTTGATATGATATTTCAAATCATGATGTCTAAAACATCTGACATTACCAAAAGTATGCAAAAACATTACATAATCACTTGCAAAAAACATCTGCTTTGAAGTTTAGAACCATGGCAAGGAGCTTCAAAAACTTTGCATAATATTTCTTTTTGTAGATGTCGTCACGTTCTTTCGAAGAAAATCTGCAAAAGTGGGAATTTTTTAGTAGCTTCAGTAGTCATAATCGTGCAAGAAACTGAATAACATTTTATCAGTACATAATGTTCTCATTATCGCGATCATATTTACTGCATCTGTTACCATCGCTGCATTGTTTCTGTAAGCTTGTTTTTTTTCTGATAGCTTAAACGATTAATAACAGTTCTAACAACGTGTAGCCTGCTCGTTGTACAGCCATACTCTAGTGCCAATTTGCCTTCTCTGGTCATGTATTATGTGTTTATTTTACTTCACATTTCGTAAGCCATCACCTTGCGATTTAGAAATAAGACATGTGCCATTTTTCGCGCACGTGAGTTCGTGTGTTAGAAATGGTTGGTGCATACGCTCTTTCTTGTGTAGACTTCTCACGGACTATTGTAAGCGTTGCTTTCTCTTACTGAATACAAGCTACACGTGTTCTCAGTACTGTATCTTTTATGCCTCTCGAGCGGGAAGTTTGTCACACTTGACACTTTGTACCACTTACGTTACTGCTAGGTTCTACGCATGTACTTCTGCTTTTTGAGTAACCCAAATTCTTCACATTTCAGGTATTCATTGCAAGTGTCTTCATTTTGACGATATTAACGGTTGAGAGGTTTCATTGACATTGATGCATCATCTTTTACCTGTGGGACTCTTTGTAAGAGCGTTGTTCGAATGATTTTTGTGTGTTGTACATACAGACAACGTAGGCGTTTGTGTTGCGCATATATTGTGTAATAAATCCGGTGAAACAAATGTTGTGACGCTGTCTCTTTGGAAGGTGATTATTCGACGAGTTCTCATTCTAGCAGAGCTTCCTGGGAGAAGAGATCAGCGTTCCTATTGTGGATCATTTGTAAACCATACAATCTATGAAAGAAAGAAGAATATATGTCTGACTCCTTTATGGGGGTCCTAACTTGTCAAATATATCACTCTATTTAAAGATGTATAGTACACCTCTTGTGGCTCAATCTATTCAGAGAAAAAAGTGTAATTCCCCCCCCCCCTCACCCACTGAAAAATTCACGTTTCTTTGAGTAGAGTAATATACGGGGCAACCAGATGTCTGCCCCACCGCGGTGGTCTAGGGGCTAAGGTACTCGGCTGCTGACTCGCAGGTCTCAGGATCAAATTCCGGCTGCGGCAGCTGCATTTCCGATAGAGGCGGAAATGTTGTAGGACCCAGTGTGCTTAGATTTGGGTGCACGTTAAAGAACCCCTGGTGGTCAATATTTCCGGAGCCCTCCACTATTGCGTCTCTCATAATCATATGGTAGTTCTGGGACGTTAAACCCCACATATCAATCAAGCAATCAACCAGACGTCTAAACAAGAATATAATGGTAGTTTTTTTCTTAACGTGTTAATGTGCGAAGCAGATATTACAACAGGCCAACTATTGTTCTACAGCGAATAAGTCCTATAAAGAAACAACCTGAGGTACTTCAGTGAACTTCACGAATGTCACAGTGGATGATCTCATTCGGCGTCGTTACTAAAGCTCCGCTTATTGCCTAATTAGGAACGAGGAACGGCTGACATAAGAAACAATGATGAGGTGGTGGTGATATAAATGACGGTAGCTTCAAGTATTCTACAAGTATTTACATAGTCATTTGTATTTTTCATTATCCTTTTCATCATTCCACTGTCCTTTGTGAATGGTCAGGACCTGTCTTAAGAGACGGGTTTATCGGTTTTACATGCATACAGTAACTGCTTAAGTTGTTGCTAAAAGCATAGAATAATAGATAATACATATGGCAGTACAGTTTGCCCCAGGCTCTCTTTATGTTTACTCTGCGACAAAGTAAAACAAATGGCCACGTATATTTTTGCTGTACAGTGCCATTTACGCTTCAAGATGCACGTTTTCTAGTCTGCGTAGGGAGACGTCTAGTATCCTCTAATAAAATAATATATATTATGCAAAGCTTCTATTGGTTGCTAGAACGAGCAAGTGGAAGCATTACCTCAGTGTGACACTTTTAAAAAGCCACTCTCATGATACCGAAGTTTCTCATCTGAACTGGAAAGAAAGGTGTCAATGTTGCAGAACTATAGCTGATGAGTAATTTAGAAGGCATGCTTGCGTTTTAAAGCCTTCTTCACAAACAAACACATAAAAAAGAACCCAATTATGTCGTCTTGAGCACAAATGTACTTTATACCAGTCGCAAGTACTGTTGGCGGCTTGTCGATGTTGCTGTGGTAGAAAATGCAAACACTAAAGTGATAGGGGGCTCGTGCCATGAGAAAAACAACAAGACTTGCTGTGTGAAAGTGAAGCTGAGGGTACCCATGAAGATATATAGATATACTCAATGCTGAGAATATAACGTGAGAATTTATTCTAAATGGATGACACTGAGCTCTAATGTCAAAGTGGTCAAAAGAATATGAAAATGCGTCAGCTGTTTGAACGGAAACGTGGTATGATTACTGCGTATGATACCTTTGCTTGCCGTTTCTGTGTATATTTGTGTCCAAGGTGAAGTGGGTCCAAAGGACTAATGCGGCTAGTCTCAGGGGCTAATTTGTCATGTTGAACGAAATGGAGGGTTTAAGATTGGTACCTTTTGGCCAGGATCGCGTTGACTCACTGTAACGAAAGCCTGTTGAATCTTCGTGTTTCAGAATCCCTCAAAGATAAGTGACAACAGCTAAGCGAGGCTCCGATTGTTATGGCACTTCTACACGCGTCAAAAATAAATAAAAGCTGTTCCTTGCCGGTGCGTTACAACCCAACTAGGTCTATAAAAAACCTTGAAAATGCGCGAGAACTATTTATATTACATCAGCAGCTTCACTATTTGCTATATTGGTAGCACCGAGTAGAGAATTTCAACTTTCTTCTTCCTCTCAGACTCACCGAAGTTATTTCCCGCTTGCTACGATTGAAGTATATATAAACATTCTGGAAGAAATCTACAGGGGATCAACTGCTGCCATAGTGCTTCATAAAGAAAGCAACAGAATACCAATCAAGAAGGGTGTAAGGCAGGGGGACACAATTTCCCCAATGCTATTTACCGCGTGCTTACAGGAGGTTTTCAGAAGCCTAGAATGGGAACAGTTAGGGATAAGAGTCAATGGAGAATACCTTAGTAACCTGCGCTTCGCCGATGACATTGCATTGCTGAGTAACTCAGGGGACGAATTGCAACTCATGATTACGGAGTTAGACAAGGAGAGCAGAAAGGTGGTTCTTAAAATTAATCTGCAGAAAACGAAAGTAATGTACAACAACCTCGGCAAGGAGCAGCGCTTCGAGATAGGTAATAGTGCACTTGAAGTTGTAAAAGACTATGTCTACTTAGGGCAGGTAATAACCGCAGAGCCGAACCACGAGATTGAAGTAACTAGAAAAATAAGAATGGGGTGGAGCACATTCGGCAAGCACTCTCAAATTATGACAGGTAGATTGCCACTATCTCTCAAGAGGAAGGTATATAACAGCTGTATCTTGCCGGTACTTAGCTACGGAGCAGAAACCTGGAGACTTACAAAGAGGGTTCAGCTTAAATTGAGGACGACGCAGCGAGCAATGGAAAGAAAAATGGTAGGTGTAACCTTAAGAGACAAGAATAGAGCAGAATGGATTAGAAAACAAACGGGGGCTAAGAATATCATAGCTGAAATCAAGAAGAAGAAATGGACATGGGCAGGGCATGTAGCGCGTAGACAGGATAACCGCTGCTCATTAAGGGTAACTGACTGGATTCCCAGAGAAGGGAAGCGGGTTAGGGGGAGACAGAAGATTAGGTGGGCAGATGAGATTAAGAAGTTTGCGGGTACAAATTGGCGGCAGCAAGCACAGGACCGGGTTAACTGGCGGAACATGGGAGAGGCCTTTGTCCTGCAGTGGACGTAGTCAGGCTGATGATGATGATGATGATGACGAATGAACCCCGGTACTGAAGAAAAATGTGTTAGTTTCCAGGTTCTTTAAGCTTCCTAATTATGGATGTGCGAGTGACGCACGACCGTCTGGACTCGGAAAGTGGCAGTAGCCAGAACGAACGCACCGTAACGTTTTGCTCAGCAGGCTGCACTGTGGGCGCCGTCCTCCTTCCTACTGCCTACATAATGTCGTGGCAAGTGCATGCAGGCTTTCTCTTTCGAACTGTGCCTAGAGTGTGCAGCATTTCATTCTCTTCTGACAGCCATCTCAAAACACTTCGTGTATTGATCTCTTGGCTGCTATATATGAAGGGCAAGGAAAGAAACAAAGAATCAACGCAAGCAAGTTAAAAAGAAGTGGCCCCAGGAGACAGACTAGAAAAAAAAAGCTTTCATTCAGAAATATTGACTGACATTGCTATAACACCGGTATTTGTGTATCATGCTTAAAGATCGGCTGACATCCTTGGTCAAACAAGTACGAACAGCGTCAGAGTGTCTCTGAAGATCAAGAATCTTCTTGTTAACCTCATAATATATCACGCGAGTGATAAACTTTCGTCAAAATATTTTTAAAAAGTAGGTTGATTCTTCTTCCTTAGAATTGGTAAAACACGAAAGTTGAACGTGCGTTCACGGAGATAGTTGAGCGTTTGTTGTGCATTGTTTCGCCAAAAGGCCAAAGGAATGAATGCTACTAGCGGCAAATTGCTAAGTCACGCAAAGAACGGCAGGCCGCAGCAGTTTGGAACTTGCAGCGTGCGCGTCAAGCAGAAAATACGCACAAAATGGGCATACGTAAGACTGAACGCGAACTTACAACTGTCAGAGCTCTACACCTAAAGCGCGCTGTATTCCGGGAAGGCGCCCAAAACGAGCGCACAAGTATACTCATGACAAGCGAGAGCAACCGTCTCAGTTTTTACTTGTGTGAGCAGCGTTCTCCTTTCGCTAATGCGATTTTGGCAGTGTGCGAAGTGGCCTTCATGCTCTCTCGAAACACACGAGTCTGATAAGCGTGCGCGGAGGAGAGACTACGTCCGTGGAGGCGGAGCTCTCCGAAGCGCGAGAGGTGACTTCAAGCAGCTATCAACACACGCTCTCTCTGCCATCTCGCTACTGATGCCGATAACGCCCTGGGTCTGCAGAGCCCCGAGAACTCCCAAATGGCATATGGTGTATATAAATGGCTTGCTGTTGGCACTCCTGGCTGCATGCGCACTGTGTCATAGTGGTTAACGTCGCACACTGCTGTTCGAGAGGTCAGTGGTTGGACGCCCCGCAGTAGGGCTTTTGCATATCGTTTTTTTTCCTACGACACATCCGACCGCACATCCGTGACAGAAAAAAACGTCAGCAGAGCCATGGTGGACCCCGGCTAAAACAATTTCGTGTTAAACGTTAGAACTGCATGCTTGATAGACGAAGAAAGTGCTTAACAGCGCAAACGACAGGAGGAGATAGAAGAGACAAGAATATGCGCTCTGTTCTCGTTTCTTCTATCTCCTATTGTCGTTTGCGCTGTTAAGCACTTTCTTCGTCTACCATGCGACACCAACGAGTCCAATCAAGCACTTTGTTAAGCTGAATGCCTTAATTCATTAGCTCTGATTAACATGAAGCACGTACACCCAGAGCTTCTTATGCTTGAGCAAGAACTTGCATTTTCGAAGCAATCTCTGAAGCGAGAAACGTATATAAAATGTTTTTATTTTCGGAAGCAGGTTGGCTACCACAGTATTGATGAAAGTAGCCAATGTCACTGCAGAGTAGCCACCAAACAATCGCCGCCAAAGTAAGAGGTAAAGAGTGGTACTGGAGTTTGGGGTGGCACCAGACTCTGTGTCATA